AAGGTAGAAGTTGTCGTACAGATTCTTCTCATTCCTTCAGAAAGGGATGTGATGACTTCCTCCTGGCCTGGGCAAGCCAGTCCTTCTCCAGGAAGCGCAAATGGGTGCATAAAAATTCTCTCCAGGATGTCACGACTGAGCATCTAAGCACATGGAGACAGGCTGAGAGGATGGGGGACATGGGAACATGCTTCTTTGTCATGCTTTTTTCCCATTATCAGTATTCCATGCTCTTGTGTACGACGTGCTGCCACGGAAGGCTGAGGACTTCAGTCTCAAAGTCCAAGTTTCATTCCTGTCTCTCTGATGAGATGCTGTCACCCAGTTTCCAAGTACAAGCCCTCTAAACCTCGTTATATGGTCCAGAGAAAATTAATCAACTCTTTAGCCATCACTAGCACTATCTACAAAATGAAACTTTTTTAAAAAAGACAAGAGACTTTGAATCTGAGAAGAGGAGTCTCTCTAGGAAAAAAAGCAAGTACTGTTTTACGACTGGCACCTTCAACAGGTACTATCAGAAACAGATGAAAAAAATAACCAGTTTACCACTGGCCCCCTAGGTGCGGGCAGGGCACACACTAAGTGGGTATCTCCACTCACAAACAGCAACTTCCATTCAAAAATTTCTTCCATCTGTTTTAGAAAGTCAAACAGATTTGTACCCTGGGATTGTTTTCCTTAGCTTTTAGAATACTAGAAATGTTCTGAATAAATACTCTATTCTTCCTCCTTGCCTATTGCCCATTTTACTCTTTTCAGAATTAACTGCATTTTAGGATGATTTCTGCGTATTGCCTCCCTAGCTCAGTTTCTCAGAGCTCACCTGGCATTTCCTGATTCACTAACAAGTTCATCCCTTGCGAGGGGAGAAGGGGCTGCCCACCCCATTGGCAAATGCCTTCCCTGATTCACTTCCATTTCGCTTTCTCTCCCACTTCTTGACCAACCTGGAATGCAGGTGCTCAGGAGGAAACCAAAAGAATGATTTCCCTTGATAGTGTTCATTCTGGGAACTCAGGGGAGAGAATAGCTGCAGCGTGCGAACTCAACACTCTGCACTCAGAAACAGACTTGCTCAGCTCACCACACGCCTTCCAGACACTTTCATTTATTCAGAGGCAGCCACCTTTAACAGGCCATGTCAGACTCCCGCCAGGGATATTGCTATGACTACAGAATTGCATTATGTACAGGGTCCCACCACCAGCTCGCCTGAACTTGGAAGCAGTTAACAGCTCTTGCAGCTGGCTCTAGAAGATACTCGTGTGTGTGTGTGTGTGTGTGTGTGTGTGTGTGTGTGTGTGTGTGTGTGTTTAACACTCATCCTTTGCTAACCAGAAGTCCAAATGAACCTTTGTACCTGGAAGCAGTTTGTGGTTTAAATTAACAAACGTGCTGACCCCTGAACACCAAAAACAGTGCTGATGCGTTTGCCATTTGTCAGATTCCCTAGCAAGTGTTGCCAGCGGAGGGGTGGGAGGAGACACCTGCAGGACACCCCGTTTTCTAACCACAGAAAACACCAACAGCCTCGGTGCCCCCTACTCCTACCCGGGTCTTCTTTGGGGTGATGTCATCTCAGAAGGGAAGAGAGGCCGGAGGCCACTGGGCTGTGAGGAAACAGGTTTCCAGACAATCAGCTGCCGGAAGCAAGGGGGGGACGGTTCATGGAGGGTTTTTTAGGGTTTGTTATCACAAATATATATATATAATAAAGGCTGTGGCTTTTCTGTCCACTTGCTAGGTTTGAGCTCCCCTCGACTAGGGCTGGTCCTCAGAGGAGTGAGGACTACGACGTCCCAGGTGCCAGAGAAGGGACTGTCACCGAGGTGGCGCTAGGGCTCTTGGGGAAGCAGTAAAACAAAGGGAACTAGGGCCCTTAACAGGGGGTGGGGGGGGGGAGAGAGAGAGAGA